CTCGGTCTGCTCTATTTCTGGACCAGTGGGAATGAAACTTGGCAACGCAGCTCTATTCGGACTCGAGTCCGAATTATTCGGACATGTACTTTCTAATTCTGGTTTTACCTAAAACCCCCGACGACAGTTATATTATGTAACCTCCTCACACTCACATAACTCTCTTAGAAGCTGAGTCTGAATAAATATAACATTTTTTTCGGACCCCAGTCCGAATAGATAAAACTCAATTTGGACATTAGAAGGTACTTGTGGACTTTGAAGTTTGTTAAATTAACCTTAGATACTCTTGGTGTCTGGAACACTTTCGTATCGGGTTGCCGAAATTTTAAATAGCTTGAATTTCAACGCCGAGGTGGTAATAGATCTATCTATCCATTGAAGTGTGCTCAAATTTGAACGTTATGTGGCGAGTAGTTGTTTTGACCCGATCATAAATGCACGACTACCCCCCTCCGGAGCGGCTTCGCACGGAAGCCGGCTATTTTCCCCTCACTCTCGCGACGAATGTATGTGACCTACAAATCCTCGCCTGACTATTCCGAGCCCGCAGGGTTGGTGATTTTTTTGATTTTTTTCATAAAAATAAAAAAAATCGATTTTTTTTATTTAAATCGTGATTTTTAAAAATTTTAATCAGATTTTTTTGATTTTTTTAAAAATGTCGACACAGTTCGGGATTTTTGGTTGCTAAAAGTATGTTCTTTTAGTGCAAAATGCATTGTCTTTATTTTAAACTAATGATTAAATTAAGCAACCTCAAAAGAAAGCCTTAATCTGCTATATAATAGTATATATATATATCAGTGAATTATGGCTACAGACAAAAAATGAAGAAAATGTCAGTCTAAAAGGAAGGGGTGGGGGGTAATTATGCATAGATAAACTTGCATTTTATTACAGTGTGTGTGTGTGTGTGCACGCGCTTGTGTTTGTCTAAAAAGAAAAAGAAAATGTTAATTTCAATAATGAAAAAAAGTAAATTGAATGCTGTATTATTTTACAGTGACAGGGGGGAAAGCAGACTTTTAAGCATGATTTTATTAGTCTACTAAACCTTATATACTGTTTTATAAAACCAAGGAAAGGAATTCTGAATATTTAAAGATGTAAAAACAGAATACATTTTTTTAAAGTGATTTAAATCACTGAGTTTTGTTTTTAAAATCAAGTTGATAAAAATTTTTTTAAATCGACCTGATTTAAATCAACCCAACCCTGATTTCAATTATGAAAAAAAAGTCAATTGAATACTGTATTATTTTACAGTGACAGGGGGGAAAGCAGACTTTTAAGCATGATTATATTAGTCTACTAAACCTTATATGTTTAATAAAACCAAGGAAAGGAATTCTGAATGTTCAAATATGTAAAAACTGAATACATTTGTTAAAAAGTGATTTAAATCACTGATTTTTATTTTAAAAATCAAGTTGATTGAAATATTTAAAAAATCAACTGATTTAAATCAACCCAGCTCTGATTTCAATTATGGAAAAAAAAGTAAATTGAATACTGTATTATTTTACAGTGAAAGGTGGGAAAGCAGACTTTTAAACATGATTATATTAGTCTACTTAACCTTATATCTGTTTTATGAAACCAAGGAAGGGAATTCTGAATGTTGAAATATATAAAAACTGAATAAAAATTAATTTTTAAAAAAGTGATTTAAATCACTGATTTTTATTTAAAAAATCAAGTTGATTTAAATTTAAAAAATCAACTGATTTAAATCAACCCAACCCTGCGAGCCCGTCCATTGGTAACTTGAAACAGGGCAATGGCGGGTGTGCGCATCCGCTTGTTTTTCTCTCTGTTCCCCTGTAACATCGCAATGGGGGTATTCCGAGGCGAGTTATATCTCGCCTCGGGGTGCTTGCGTCTCAACGGGGGAAAATAATTTTTAATTTTACAGCATGCTAGATTGAATTAACTTATAAATCTTTTAAGGTTGGCATGGTCTAAAGTCATCAAAGAAAGCTTTGCCATTATTTAGTCATGCTGCCAACATATTCTTAAAGATCACATGTTGTGAGAAGATGCTGTAAATAAAATGGACTCATCCGACAACCCTTTTCGCAAAATCGTAATATGTACACCCAAATTTTAATATATAACAAAATATCTACAAAATGGTTAGTAAATCTGACGGCAGAAATGATTTCTCCACCCAAAAACACATCGGGTAGTCAAGTTTTTCTCTAACACTCCAATTAATTACCGAAATATCGTCGATTATCTTACAGCATCTGCTACTGCGTGGTCCACTGTTAGTATTTTTTTATATGTGGGTCATGCAAATTTTGCCAACCTTTTCAACCCAATAACTTTTTTATGTCTTAAAATAAGCATAATTCTTAGAATTGAAAATTCTTTCTTAGGTACCAAATAAAAAAGGGTTATTTAAGCGAAAAATTAAATTTTCACTGGCATTGCTAAATTAGGTAAAAATTTTATTGAAATGTGATTGGCCGGCTCTGTTTGCAACGCCACGTTCTGAATAGCTCCCGTGCTGTTTGAAATGCAGCGTTCTGATTAGCTCTCATGCCATTTGAAATGCCAGTAGCCCACTTGTAGCCATCGTTTCTACATAATAATATTGTAGTTCTGCCTGAATTGTGGAAGCTTTCTCAGTTTCTCAGCCTACTGAGCGTACTCTAAAAGCTATAACCGGAAATTCAGGCCGGAATGCATCATGACATACAACACAAACTGAGACATAGGCTTGGCCGAGAAGGTGGCCTTCTCTGGGCTAGGCCTTTATCTAATGTGTGTAAGCGTGCACGTGTGATAAGAAAGTAGGTGTGTGCGTGTGTGAGATGTACGTGAGTGTGTGTGCGTATGGGTGCGCGCGCATGAATATTGTTCGTACCATGATTCATGTGTCTACATACACGGTAACCGGGCACCTAGTCTCAGTATCTATGTACACGGTAACCGGAATGAAAATAAACCAATATTTGTCCCGTGCTGCCACTTGTTGAATTAAAAAGAAAAATTTATACACGCGTCTTTTTGGGCTCGCCATCATTACCGGTCAGTGAACCTGTGCTTTCGCATCACATTGTGAGAACCGGTTGGGGTCACCAAAGTTCATTCAAAGTCTGTGCGCTACGAAGTATAGAGCTCTGGAATGGGGGAATTATTGATTTTTTTTTAAACGGTATAGAGTCGGGGGAGGGCTGGAGTTTGAAGGCAACACTGGATGACAAAAACTGAACTTGGAATTCTTAACTGCCCGGTTACCGTGTACGTCACATTGAGACTACGTGCCCGGTCGCCGGTTACAGTGTACGTAGACACCGAGGCTAGGTGTCTGCGTACCGTGTACGTAAACACCCCGTCATGTAAAACGCCTTAAGCTGCGTTCACACGGGAGTGGGTGCTATAGAAATGATCTAGATCTACATTAGTACATGTATTGCTATTGTTTGTAAATAGAAAAAAACTTATGGTGTATTTTACGATTTGACTTAGTGTTAAAACAATACCATGCCGGTTTTAAAACAGAAGATATCTGAAATAGATCTAAATACAGATTACCGGTGTATCGAAGGTTTCAAGAGAAAAATAGAACAGGATATTATTGGATAGGAGCAGATAAGCTTATTTTGTATTTAGAGGTTGTTTCGAAAATCCCTTGTCAATTTTTTTGTTTTTTATAGACTGAATCTTATACACTTCTAGATTTTTGCATGAACCAAGTACCCGGTTTGTACTAAATTTGGTCAAATTTTATGCCTTCATTTAAAAGTTATTACTAAAACCGAGGGTTCAGTTATTTTGTGTCACGCGTTATCATATTATATTTGGTCGATAACAAAATGAGAATTGTAAGATTGTGAATTGTTCTGTTGATCACAAAAGGGATAGTTTAACCAGCTTTCAGAATTCAGAAACCTCAATCTTTTAACCTCAATTCTTTTTATAATCTAAAAAAGTAATCAAGTGATCTAGAAATTTTTTATTAGACAATTATAGTTACCGTACTGAATTGAAAAAGATTGCTAAATGAGAACGCATAAAAGCTAAAGCTTCAGTTATTTATCTCAAGATTATTATTCACTTTCAGATTGTAAAACTGTTTATAAATACAATTGAACCAAGTTGAAATGGGCAGCCCAGTGGAGGAGAACAGTAGCCATCATAGACCGATGACTGCGTAGGCAGGACTGATAAAAACAACCAAACAACAAACCCTTCTGATGTCCCAACTGGAGTGGTTGCAGGTTTAAGACTGCCGTAAGACTAATTATTCCCCCCTCCCCCC